TATACGGCCGTCCTCAGAATCGCCTCTTTTAACGATGAGTCATCTGTGATCCACATCTCTGGCACTTCATTGAAGACGCATTTAGCAAAGTTTCCTCCAAAAAAATTTTAATAAATTTCTTCTAACCCTTGTAAAAATTTATAAATAAATCTTGGATTAGGAAAGCCAGGTTGGCCAAAATAAGGTCTCAAAGGACAATTTTTTGATTCGGATACCAATAATTCTTGGTACTTACCAATAACAATATTCATCTTCGAAACGGAAATATCCATTCGCATTTGAAATCTGAGGAATTCGAAGAGATGAATAATAAATTTTAAAATGGGTGCGGTAATGCACAATATTCAGTAACCAATCAGGAGCTGATTACATCACGCATAGAATTAAAATTTTAAATAATCATTACTAATAAAATCATTTTAAACAAATGCAAAATTAAATTGTATTTAATATTTAAAAGCCATAAATAATGTTTAAAACATTAGAATAAATTTAGATATTAAAACAACTACTTTTAAAAGTAAGGTGACGTCATTGATTACATCATCCACAACATAAAATTATATAAAATATCATAAACAATAACATTTTTTTTTATTTCAAATAAAAATGAAAAATAAAATTTATTTTTAATATTTAGAAGCCACAAATAAGCTTTTATAAACACGCTATTTATGCATAATAAAACGCATTATTATTTAAATAAAATGACAACAAAGTATCAGTTACCATAAATAACTTGTCCAGAAATGGGTTTACCATAAGTCGTATCGCTCGCCAAAAAAAAAAAAAAAAAAAAAAAAAATCCGTGCAACCGTTTACCAAAGTAGCACCCTCATCTTCATACGACCTTAGCCAGCCGAGATATTAATTTGTAAAATTCCTGATTTTTTTTTTTTTTTTTTTTTTTACTAAAATAAACGTTGAGCAACCTAATGAACTTGTGAGCTACTTTCGCTGAATTCGAACAACTAAGGCGTAGACTCAAGAAGGGTAAACTATCCTTTATTTCACTTAAAAGAAGATGAATATTTGGCCCCTTTCTCGGGCTTACAGAAAGCCTCCACTCGGGCTTGAACTTAAAATAAGAAATAAAAAGTAAATTAGAACTAATTAAAAGAGATTTAACCGAAGCTACCACAATTCAAACGTAGTTGGCCTGTAATCTAAACTAGCCGGCGAACTATCAGAAGACACGTAATAATACGTCCGAGCATAACAGCAGTTAGAGAGAGCCAAAAGGCAAACGCGCGCTACTTAGGTTTCCTAGCTCTCTCTTAAGAAGTAAGTTGAACCTTCCTTAAATACTACTTCTAACTCATTTGCGTTCAATGCGCTTCTAAAAACTCATTCTGGTAGGGAGTTGTAACTTGAAACAAGAATCGATAGGAAAGTATATCGAAATTAAAATATAATAAAAATAAAAAATGTTATAAAATTAAAATATACCATACAAATTGAAAGCTCTGAAACGCTAATTTTCGCATCCTGCAAGTTGCTATTTTTCCTCAACTTCATTGCGGTTCGGCCGTGCTGCGTCAAAGCGCGTGCGAAGTGGAATTTTAAACTTGTCATGCGTCTTTTCTATAGTTTGAGAATATAGAACTTACGAGGGCCATCCAGGAAGTAGATTACGTTTCCGTCTGTGTCCGCTAGGGGCGGGGCTAGCGCGGCCATCTTGGGGTCAGAGCGTTGCGCATCTCAGTCTGCATCTAGCCGTGCTAGTGAGAGGTTCGTGCTGTGCTCCGTTCAGATACTGTGACGGTTTGAAATGTCTGCGTTAATTGAAAATCCCGCGAGCTGCCAGGTGCGCTCAGTAATAAGGTTTCTGACTGCAAAAAAACTGTAAACCGATAGAAATCTATCGGCAGCTTCGTGAAGTGTATGGGGACAACATTATCACTGAAGGTGGAGTGCGTCAGTGGGTCATAAGATTTCAAAATGGCCGAACCAATGTTCACGACGAAGATCGAAGTGGGAGACCCAGCATAGTGACCGCCGAACTTCTCGAAAAAGTCGATGCTAAAGTCCGTGAAAATCGAAATTTCACAATAACGGAACTTTCCTTGAGTTTTCCACAAATTTCGCGAAGTTTGTTGCACGAAATCATCAGCGAAAAGCTTGGTTACCACAAGTTTTGTGCAAGATGGATTCCCAAAAATCTTGACAGAGGACCACAAAAATCAGCGAATGGCTGCAGCGTTGAACTTTTTGGACGCTTACCATAAGGATGGTGACTCTTTACTCGATCGCATCGTTACTGGTGACGAAACATGGGTGAAACATGTGAACTGTGAAACGAAATTGCAATCAATGCAGTGGGGGGGCACACAAGTTCTCCCCAAAAACCCAAGAAATGCATGCAAACAATGTCGGCAAGGAAGATGATGGCGACTTTTTTTGGGACAGAAAAGGTGTAATTTTGGTGGACTTCCTGGAAAGAGGCACTACAATAAACTCTCAAAGGTATTGCCAAACTCTCCAAAAACTCAGAAGAGCAATTCAAAACAAGCGCAGAGGAATGTTGAGCTCTAAGATCTTGTTGATTCACGACAACGCCCGGCCCCACACGGCAAATGTCACTCGTAAAGTTCTTGAATCTTTTAAGTGGGAGTTGTTTCCTCATCCGCCGTACAGTCCCGACCTGGCACCGAGCGACTTCCACCTATTCCCAGCAATGAAGAAGTGGCTGGCTATGCAGCGTTTTGATGACGACGCACAGCTGCAAGAAGAGGTAACGAAGTGGTTGAAGGCGCAGGCGGCCGAATTTTTCGACGAAGGAATTTCCAAGCTCGTACATCGCTACGATAAATGCCTTAATTTGTATGGTGACTATGTAGAAAAGTAGTATTTGAGTGTGGCTTTCATCTGTATATAATAAAATTTGTTTCCTATACTTTGTTTATTTTTTTATTCCAAAACGTAATCTACTTTCTGGATAAGCCCTCGTATTTGATTTTATATTTAAAACACTTTTTCTTCAGATGTATATAAAACTGATTTAATTCATATTGAAATTAGTGTATACATTTTCTTTTCAGATGTATATAGAAATTATAAATTCTGCTTTGGCAACAGCTCTTTCATCTGGCGGGCTTTCCCGTTAGTACTATATTACTTCTTAAACATATTTCATAAATCCCATGGTCACAGATGGCCAAGTGTATGAAATCAATGAATACTGGTGGCTTGATTCAGGCTTGAGTTGTTAAAGATGACATTATAGATTGGTTTCGTAACTTTTCTTAAGTTAGCTTTCGTAACTTAAGTGATTCAGATGACTTTTCCGTGATTACATCTAGGCATTTTTATAGGAATTTTTTAAAGGTTATTCCGAAACCTAATATGTGCCACGAGAAGCTAACACTTCGTAATCGTTGAAAACTAGATCAACAAATATCTCAGTCTTCCTGAAAGAAAAAGTTTAAGGAACATTTGCCGTAAGCAATGGCATCGTGCTACGGGAAATGCTGTCTAGTAATAATTAAGGAAAGTAACACACCATCCTTAAAATGAAAACTGGAACGTATCACGGAAATTTACCCAGGTAACGATTACAGAATCCGTGTTGTAAAATTTAAAACTGCTGATAGTGAATTCAAGAGATTTATCCTTAAACTGCGTGCATTACTACTAAAAAATTAAGTATTGCGAAAAATGTTGAACTTGATATTTATCGATATTCATTTTGTTTAGTTTCATAAAGTTTTAATGTTAGTTACGTTATTAACTTTGTGCAATTCATCGTTTACATACCTATGTTATTTTAGGCTTAGTATTACTCATTTATATGAATATACTGTTTAGTCTAGAAATTATGTGTTTACTACGAATAATGTTAAGTGATAATTTCATGTAAAGAGGTAGGGTAGTTTGGTGTCCTGAATGGCCATCCGTGGAAAGTATGTTGAATCTCCAAAGAGGCCGTTGTAGCAGCCCTCAACTATGCGAGGATAAAGTTTCGGTTTAATCAGAGCTGGCGTGGGTTCAGAATGTAGTGTGACGATAATAGTTGCACATTTCCAAAGGCAGACATATAAAAATATTGTACAGTAACAGTTCTATAATCTAATTGTAATATCAATAACGTTTAATAAAGTAGTTGTTGGTAGTTACTGGCAGTTTGTAGTTGGTAGAAAAAGACTTCATGAGTCACATGGAACGTGCTGAGCCCATTTAGATTGATAGCCAAATAGGCCTGTCTGATGTGACAGAAAAATAAATAAAGATGTCTAGAATTCTAAATGCTCTCATAAACTGTGTAACACATGAGTTGAATTTGAAAATTATTCACCGCAAACTGGTATTCAGATTGAAGTACTATGAGACGTACTACCATAAAATGTAACTTAAACATCGAATCAGAAAGAGTTAGCAAGTCCGTGATAAAAACTCTTTTGTCAGATAATGGTCTTTACTCAAATCATAATATAAATAAATATGCATAATTTAATTTAAAATTAAGTGTCATTAGAACTGTCTAATAAAATTTAATTGAATAACTCTTATATTCTAAAATTTCTGTAGTTTTAAAATTGTTTTAGAATGTATTTAATAGTTTTGCTTTTGTGCTTTCTTTATTATTCATAATTAATTAGATAGCTGCTTACCGAAGGTATTGCTATATTTCTAAGCTTGTTTTGCCGAACTTTGCATTTCTACTTAAAATCAAAAAGCAATATATCCCTTGACATTCATTAACGTTTCAAGTTTATATTTAACTAATGCGGAGTATTACGTGAAAATATAGCTGTATTACTTTCTATAAATTTATATAGCTTTTGAAAGAAGGGAAAGAAAAACTGTATTCTTTATACCCTTGGTATTTCTCAAAGAGACAGCAGCGAAATCGATATATAGAGTAAATATTCAACGTTTAGGCAGCTGCTCCAAGAAAGGTCCAACTTCTCGCCTCCGATAGAAAGGGGTTGATTTTTACGTAAAGGCAGTTGCTATTAACAGAATAAAAACACAAATGTATGGTCTATTGGCGCAAGTGAGAAACGTCACATCGGAAAACAAACGGAAAGATCAAAATCACTGTTGTGCGTCTCTGTTTGGTCCATTGAAGTAAGGTTCTTTTGGTAAAAAGACTTGCTTTGAATCAAATGACAAATTCTCTAGGACACGAATAAATTGTTTTATTTCAGAATAACAATGAAAATTTTGGGGCATATGTTTACAATTTTCACACTAGTGTTAATTTTGACACACAAATCGAGTAAGTGAAATTTTTTTTTTCATTTATACTTTTGTTATATATTATAAATATTTAAATTTTTGGTTTTGATATGCAATAGTTGCTTTTAATTTGAAACGTTTTTAAGCAGTTCTGCTTTTTCTTTGGTTCGAAATTTATTTAATATTTATTTAGATTGCTTTTGTTATACACAATGGTTATTTTGGCTACTTACCCAAGAATTCTTTTTTAATGTTTAATTTTTTTATTTTTATATTTGGAGTAGCCCTTGTTTTGGCGTCTAACAACAAATTATACTTTAATAATTAGTTAAAATTAAAAAAAAAAAAAAAAAAACGTTTTAAAAGTATTTACTACATTGAATTAAAAATTAAATAATTTTTATTTTATTAATTTTACTCAAAAGTTTCTTTTAATTTTCTCTTTTGGATTACTTCAAAAATACAAAATCATGTAGATAATTCAAAGATGTGGCTCTGCTCACAATACTTCGGCTGATTCTTGAAAAGACCAGAAATACCAAGGCATTTTCAACAACATTTTATTACGTTGTATAAATTTTTTAATGTTTTTTATATTATTTTGCTTAACTGTTTTCGCTTTAGCTTTGATTTATGTACTTCCGGTTAGAATGTAAACTCATTTCCTGATTTAATTTGTGATTTAATTATCAACTTTTCATTATAAATATTTATTGAAACGGTATTTAAAATTTAAAAAGTAATTCGGAAACAGCACCTGTTTATATTTACATTTATATGGATGTCGTTCGCTAATCATAAATTCAGAAGTCAAACAAAAAAATCAGCGTTAATTACAAAATTTTCACAGGACAGTTTCAATGGTTTACCGACCATTTCAGCTGCAAAACGCAAAATCATTTGCGGTTTGCCAGCTGAAGATATGGTTCGGTAAAACCATTGAACTAGTCCTGTGAAATTTTGTAAAATTAACGCTGTTTTTTTGTTGTTTGACTCTGAATAGTTTTATATGGATGTCGTTCGCTAATCATAAATTCACTTTCACCTCTTTTCAAGAACACTTATTTATATTACTCTTGATGACATACATAGTCGCATAAAAAAGCAAAAAATAATTGAATAATATGCAACAATATTTAAATAAAAATTTCTTATAACGAATGATGAGGTGCTTTTCAGATTTTCTACGGATACTAGAAAATTTACATAAATCATTTATGACAAATTAAACAAATTAAAAATGCTCTCTAATAAAAACTGAAAAATTCAATAAGTAATTTGGTTTTAAAACTCAATTAATTGAAAGTCGACGAAAGTTTTAAGCAATAATAATAACATCTTTGATAATAAAGGTGATCCTAAAAAATATCGGTGATGTTTCGAAAAGCAAGCAATGGAATAAATGACATCTAACAAGCATGTACAATGGGATGTTGACGCCCCTGTTCAGAAACAACCATTCGGTGGTACTTTCTCGACGAAATTATATTGAATATGCCGAATTCACAGTGAAACATATTCTTAACCAATGGGTAGGAAATGTCTGTGTAGAAGAGAAACTTAAACTGGATGTACTGGATAATTGATTTCATTAGCTGCATGAAATAAAGATAGAACAGGAGATTAAACTGAAACGTCTTTCAGAGTAAAATGCAGAGCTTGTTTATGAACCATCATTTTAACGGCAACATCAGTAAACACTAGGAAACCATATTCTACGAGAAAAAAACGAAAGTAAACGTACGGACTGATCTAGATACAGTGGCGCAGCAAGCATAACTGGCGCCAGGAGCAAAATACCTTTTTGGCGCCCCCTCCCACAAAAAAAAAAAAAAAAAAAAACTTTCAGTAATACAATGTATAGAATATATTCGTAATAAGAAAATAATACAAATATTAATGAATGCTGAATCTGCCATAAAATACTCAAAAATATATTAAGAATAGTCACTACCTTCGGAAATGCATCTATGTCGGCGGAAAAATCAGACATACGATGATCTATAATTAGTTAAAAAGGTGTTATTTATTTTTCATATTTATATAAGTGCTTTTAAAAAGTACAGTTTATTAAACAATTAAAAGTTTAATATACAGATATGTGGGAACTTGCCTACTATAACTCACCTCTGCCAGTCTGGTAACCCATAAGCAACCAAAAACAAAATGATATTTATTCTATTCAATTGTTATAATTATTTAACGATCTGTCTCAAAAAATTGTACTATCATAATTGGTGACCCGCATTTATTACGAATAGCAACCTTCAATGTTGCACGAATATGGAGTTTATATGTCAAATTAGGAGCAACAGTAAGTTATCCAGTGTGATGAGATGCAAGTAAGACATTTCACCTGTCATTTCAAGCGTTATGCCGCATGCCGGCGAGTCAACATATTTCTGTCATAATTTCAGCGGATATATGAATCGTCTGCTGCATTTGAGCCGCCAATTTCTCTGATTTCAAGTACCAAAAAACTGTGTCACTATATACATATTGATTATTTTTCTATACATATTATTATTGTGCATATTCTATACATATTATTATTGTGCATATTCTAATCATATTATTATTGTGCATATTTGATTGATCTAAAGTGGTTGACAAGGATGCTGCTTCACAATTGGCACGAGTGGCAGTTAAGCCACCGCCTTTTTGTCGCCGAGACCCATCGTTATGGTTCATTCAATTGTATGCGCAGTTTAAATTAAGTCACATTACTCAGTTTTATACAGCGAACGCCGCGTTTGAATCAGAGGTACTGCAATCAGCTCATGAAATAATTTTGAATCCACCGGCGACGGACAAATACAAATCTTTTTAAAAAAAGATTCATTTCTGTTTATGAAGAATCCGAGATAGTTAAAATCAAGCAGCTGTTGAATGATTTACGGTTGGGTGATTATGAGGCCTTCTCAGTTGCTGTCTAAAATGTCAGACTTAGCCGCCGGTAACCTAACGGATAATATTCTTAAAACATTATGGATGAATAGAACTCTCATATAACATGCAAACCATTTTAGCGGCCAGTAGCCAGTCACATAAAAATCTTCCCAAAATTGCTGATAAAATTCACGAGCTGGCCATTCTAGCGCAAATACACGCAGTGCAGGCTCCTGGTCCAGGTATTGGTCCAGGTATTGTGGCGTTACAGGCTCAAATTGATTATTTGTCCAAACAAGTTGCTCAGTTAGTAACCATCCAAGCTGAACCTTTTCAGCGCAACCGCTCCACATCACGTGGTTGAAATACACGTCATAGCCCACTGAGGAAATGTTATGAAAGCTCTCCTCAGGGTATTTGTGTTTACCACCACAAATTTGGAAACAAGGGAAACAAGGCAAACAAATGCCGCCACCTTATCGTTATAACGACCAGGGAAACGAGAAGGGCCGTTGCTCGAAGTCGTGAAAGACAGCGGCCGAAATTTTAAACGCCTTTTCGCATCGAAAAGAATTCGGGCTTAAAGTTTCTTGTAGACACTGGGGCTGATGTTTCTGTCGTTCCACCACATTTTCACGAACAAAAGCGCCTTACCAAGTTACAACTTTATCTAGCAAATGGAACTCCTATTCAAACTTTTGGTGAACGACTGATATCTGTTGATTTAGGATTGCGGCGCAACTTCCAATGGCTATTCATTATTTCTACTGTTTTAAGTCTTATTATTGTCGCTGACATTTTACAAAAATTTTCTTCGACATATGCTAGAGGGACATGTTTTCATGATATTCACAGATCACAGACCCTTAATCTATGATATTCAACAGCGTTCGGATAAAGCTTCTCCTCGTCAAATGAGACACCTAGGTTTCATAGGGTAATTCATAGGGCAATCCATTATATTGAAAATTCGCAGAATATTGTTGCAGACACCTTGTCTCGTATTGAAGAACTAGCCGTTCCTTCGCCAATAAACTTTGCTGCCCTTGCGGATGAACAACACCGAGATTCAGAACTACAAACCCTCTTGAAAAGCAAATCTTCCAGCAATCTTAATTTGCAGCCTATGCAGCTGTCACCTGGAAAATCACTTTATTGTGATGTTCAGGATTCAAGATTTCGACCTTATGTTCCCGTCCGGGTTTCGACGCATGCCATTTTTAGTCAGTTACATCATCTGTCACATTCTGGCATCAAGCCTTCGAAGATACTAATACAGCAACGTTTCGTATAGCCTAGTATGCAAAAGGACATAGCCAACTGGACACGTTCGTACTTGGAGTGCGAAAGATCTGAAATTGTCAGACACAACACCAGCCAACTTAAAAATTTTAATCTCGCCCTCATCTCCGCTTCAATCACGTGCACCTCAACTTGGTCGGGCACTTATATTTGTTAATAATAATATAATACACGAATACATTAATTACTATGTATACATTTTTCTTACCTTGGATGAAGCAAATTTATCATTTACTTCATCGAAGTCCATCCTTTCAAATTTTCCTCTTTCCACATTTAAAAATGCTAGATGACGTAGGGGATCTTGTCCCATCGTTGATTGTAAATATGTGAAAATTTATTTTAATTTGCTGAACAACATTTGATAATGAAATAGTAAGTAGTATTTGAAGTCCGGCTCTTAGAATTGAAAAAGCATTTTCTCTATAGATCTGTAGTGGAGTTTTAGGTTCTGTTTCATTTCTACTGCGGAGTATCGTCATGCAGTCACACTCACTGCTTAAAACAATTAGGGGATATTGTGGGTTCAGTATGAAATAACCATATAATCGATAACCTTTTTGAACAAAAGGAAATAAAAGAGATTATAAAGGAAAATATTAACGTTTACAAAGTTGGGAATATGCAAATTTAGTTTGTGACGTCGAAAAGTATGCGTTTTAGATAAGGAGCGACCTGGAGTATTCCTTTTGTAATAGGAGATTAAAAATAATTGACATGCGTTGAATGCTTCATAGCAGTGAATATACGATTTCTCAGCAAGATGACTTAGTTGAATCGGTAGCCAGGAAGGCCATCAGTCGTTTACAGGAGAGTCAAACGCAATCCATTGTACCGGAAGCGTTAGGA